TCAAGAAAGCCGGCGTTTGCGACAAGTCACGCCTGCCTTGAGGAAAGAGAGGGAGGAAGAGGGAGGGGAGAGAGAGAGAGAGAGAGGAGGAGGAGGAGAGAGAGAGAGAGAGAGAAGGAGACAATAAGACGACGGCTGCGAATTCCTCTACAGATTCGAGATATTGCGTAACAAAGTATACACCAGGCAAGCGGTACTCAATATAATGGCGCTTGCATCACGCGCGTTGAGCTCTTCTCCCGTCGTGCGTTTACGCGGGTAAGAGGTAAATCGATAATCACACCTAGACCGATTTTACTAATAATCCCCTAAACCTTTGATTTAGCACACGATATATTATGCGAAAGAGCACGATACAATATATTTTTCTACTTATGATATTATAGCCAGGTTTTGTGCTAAAAGTGTGCTAAAAATGACCAGCTGCAGATCTGAAAATAATTTTGTTGGACCATCAAATCTATATTATATAGGACGCTTAAGCGTGATGATAACTTTTTTTTTTTATATTCTCTTTTTTATATTCAACCAATTTGAACGTCCTACATAATAATTCTTCGATGACTTAAAATTATTTTCAGGTTGGATCAAATTTCAAGATATTTTAGCAAAACTACATTCTTTTCATGTAGTAATGTACCATACAAATATTTTCATAACTTTATCTGAAAGAATTTTGTAGCTAGTATGTACAATCATATTTCCTAAATCTAGGCTCCTCTTCAGGCAATCTTTAGCATTATATTTTTGTAGTTAATGCTAATAAATAAAAGCAAATTACAAGAATAACTCGCAAGATACTTGCATTAATGTCGATTTGCAAAAATTTGCATAAAGTAACGTTTAAATTATACATTACATGGTAAAAAATATAAAATTTAAAAAAAAAGCATTCCTTATGCGTACAAAGGAAACACTTTCCCATCTAATTCCGTTTATAAATATTATTTTACATTGTCCATTCTTAATAACGTGAATTAATGATTTGCAACTTGGTATTCTTCAATCAAACGGTGTCGATATATCTTTTTTGTGCGGGCTCGCATTATTGGGTTATCGTTAGGTACTTTATCTAGCAATCGGAATTATTTTACGTAACCAGATACACAAGCCGAGCGATTACGATGTAATTATCGCGTAGCTCTTCGCAAAGTGGCTTCTGCCGTGTTTTCATCCGATAATCTGCTTTCGCTCGTGGGTTTTGGCCTGTGCGAAAGAGTAACGGTAGTTCGTTCACGCCGCCTCGATTGTCTGGCATAAGCGCAGAATTTTAGATTATAAGTGTCACGATCGCGTCTCACACGTCTCGTTTACAGTTTGGATTATATCACGCCGTAATTCGGGACCCGGGACCAGGCTGATTGCTATCACGCGGATCGCATTTGCGAATTCCCGTTCATTCGCTCCTAATTGACTACCTCGTTCGACAATACGCCGCGATAAGTCCGTACCTGCGAATCTGCTAATTGATGCTTAAGACACACTCGGAACTTTCTTTCTCTTGTCTTCTTTCTTTCGCGAGTATGACGAACTTTCAAATCGTCAATTGTTACCTTATTAATGTCAAAGATGATTCATAAATGAGAGAATCTCTTTCGCCTTATAAAATTATAAAATGCAATGTATAAAATAAAATTGAATTTTCAGAACTTAAGGTGTTTGATATTTTTTCACAAATTCTTAGCAAACTCAGAGGAAATAAACGCGAAAATGTTATTTCCGAAAAACCACATTCACATAAATATAAAAAAAAATTAATAAGGCAATAATTAACTATCTCGTACCATTTGTCGAGCTAGAGAGCTGAAAAGGAAAGTCTATGACATACTAGTAATGTTACTCGGTATGTAAAATGAACGGATTAAGATCGCCCTTCGAGCATTCCAAAGCGTTCGTGGCACCATGTAGACGGGCACCCTAAAACATTATTGCTCAATGATGTTCGACGAGAGTCTGGGTATTGCCAAGTTCTCGAGCTCGTTATCCCAATGAACAGCTAGCGAACATCGATCGCGGTCTGCTCGATTAAACGACTGAAGGACGACAATCTGCATTCGCCGTTTATCGCTCTAATCTAAAGATACATTCGGATATGATGTCGAGAGGGAAAACATCTTGCAGCGTATTGACACAGATGCATCTGGGATTACAAGTGACATTAAAAAAGTATTCGCTTATAGATTAATGCGACTGATAATTCGCCGATTTGCAGGAGGGATCGAATTAACGGCGGAAAAAAAAATATATCGTTACCGATTACATCCCGGAGCGGTGGCGGATTTAAAAAACAGTTTCTGCCCTGCGAGAGATCGGGACGTTTTTCTTTCGCATCGCCGCGCCGCTGACACATCGATGACACGTATATCTCTTACAGAACAGTCCGCATAGCTAATTTGTCTCTATCGCTTTTGGTTTTACACGTCGTTGATTTTCAGAGTTCCACCTCTCGTGGATTTCTTTTTTTAAGAGGATATAATATTTTTACAAACGAACCCCCCCCCCCATCTCGACTACCGAGAACGATGTTATTAATTTTAGATCATCATAAACGACATAATCCCGAGAACCATCGTACAAAACGGGTTAATTTGATTTTTCAATAAATCATCGGATTATGATTTTTAAAAAGTAGGATTTCTTTTTACATTTCTTTTTACATATTTCTATATTTTATATTAGCGTGACACATTTTTATAACGTTGAAACAATTTATGCTGCTTTAAAAGAACTATCATTTAATATATTTTTTTATTTAAAAAGATTATATTAAAATATTTTCTGTATGATGATTTTTTAGGATCTACGTGTATTTAATAATACTAGAAATTGCCTTTTTATTCTTTTTTAAAACAGACTCTCTTTTGAAAAACGTGACAAAATTATTTCTAATTTAATCGTTTCATTTAAACTGGCCAATACAGTCAGTTGTTACTAAATGATGACGTATAACATTATGCGTAGGGCCGCGCGTAAAATAAGATCGATCGTACTACGTATGGTTAAGCTACATAAGTTAGTGTATGTAAAAGCTAAATACCGGACACGGCAGGGTGATAACGGAGCTGACAGGTGGGGGCAAGGCAGGGTGCCGGCGATGTCAAACACCAGCGCGAGAAGAGAGTCTTCCCGCGATAGAGAGAGAGAGAGAGAGAGAGAGAGAGAGAGAGAGAGAGAGAGAGAGAGAGAGAGAGAGAGAGAGAGAGAGAGAGAGAGAGAGAGAGAGAGAGAGAGAGAGAGTAGGAGGAAGCAGAGAGCAGCGGTGAAATTTCTGCATTTCGTTCGAGGCTGACGGCGGAGATGAGACGAGATGAGACACGTACAAGAAGAATGAGAGAGGAGTGATAGAAAGAATACGGTTGAAAGGGGAAGAAAAAAGCGAAAAGAAAAAGAAATGGCAGAGAGAGAGAGAGAGAGAGAGAGAGAGAGGGAGGGGACAAAGAGAAAGAGAGAAGAATATCGGAAGGGTATGGTAAAGGAAGGGTGGATAGATAAGGATAAGAGAGGAGAAGAGAAGAGAGAGAGAAGAAAGAGAAGACGAGTTATAGTGGGATAAAAAGGAAGAAATAGCAAGGGAAGGAGAAAAGAAGGGAAGAGAAGAGCGGAGAAAAGAACAGAAAGGAGTAGAAGAGAGGAATAAGCGGATGGGCCAATGTTGGGGAGTAGGAAACAGGGAGGGAGGGAGGGCGATTGGTCGGCACGGACGAGACTCGTGAGACGAGCAAGGGGAACAGCCGAAGCGGTGCACGGTCGAGACCAAGGGTGCCAGGGTACGGAGGGGGGAAAGAACTAAACCGAGGGTTGGGGGCCACTAGCGAGGAAATGGTGGGGGGCCGAAGAATTGGCGAGGACCAGGCCCTCGGGACGGGGAAGCGAGGGAAGGAGGACGAAGATGAGGACGCGGATGAGGACGCGGATCAGGAGAACGAGGAGGAGGAAGTGACGGAGCAGGAGAAGGAGGAAGAAGACGGCGGAGGAGGAGGGAGGACGTCTGGTGGAACACGGAGGGGTGTCGCGGGGAACTCCGTGGCACGGGGGGTAGGGGTTGTCGCCCCTCTCGCGGCATCAGCCCTGCCAGCGTGGTCGCGAGGAGCGGGGGCCGGGTTAAATCCCCTCTCCTTGCGTCGCGAGGTTCCTATGAATTTTGCGACACTCAATAAAAAGTGGTTCCACGAGGT